ATTTGTGGTTGATGAGTTATAGCCGTTCAAAGGTAACCAATCACACTTGCGTTTCTTTTGGTAGCCACTGTATATTAATTTTTATAATTATAAATAAAAAAAAAAAAGATATTGATATATAGAATTATGTAAAAAAGCTTTATTAAATAACAAATTCATTGATTAATTAATTTTAATATAATTATTCTTTAATAAGGTAAAAGTAAAATATAAGAACTTAAATAGGTTCTATTTAATTTATTAAAATTAAAATTAATGTAAATTAATTTTTGAAAACTTAAAAATTTTGATAATATTTAAAAAAGAATTCTTTATTATTTACTATAAATTATTAATAGATTCAATAAAATTAAAAAAAAGAAACAACTAAATTCATATATTTTTTATGAAGTAATAGATAATATCCCTTAAAGTATAGATATAAATTAATTATAAAATATTATAGAAAAATTATAATATTTTAATATCTAGTAATTATAAAAAGATAAAATAAAATTTATTAAATTTGTCATATTAAGATCTATCTAATGATATTATTTTAAATTTTTAAAATTAATAATTATTAATATATATTAATTTTTTTAATTTTTTAATTTTTAAAAATAATTTATTATTTAATAATTATAAAAATATAAAATATAGTTTATTGGATTCATCACATTAAAGTCTATTAAATAGTAATGTTTTTATATTTCTAAAATTGATAAATAGCAAGATATATAAGTTTAAAATTTTAATTTTTTTTATAATAATTTATTATTTATTATCTTTAAAAAATTATTAGTTAATTACATTTTTTTTAATTTTTACTTAGAAAATATTATAAAATTTATTATAAAAGTATTAATTTTTAATAGTATATTTTAAAATATTTAAATAATAAAAATTTAATCAAAAGTTTTAACTTTAGTCAAAGGTTTAGTCAAATACAAAATTTGATAAAAGTTTAGTTATAATAAAATATAAAAATAGTTTATATAGATATTATTACTAAATATATTATAATTGCTAAAACTTTAATTTTAATATTAAAGCTGTAATCATTAGTTACAGCTGATTAGATTATATGACTTAAAAATGATTAACAAATTTGATGAAGAAATAAATCTAATTAATATGATAAATTAGTTACATTTGATTTATTAAATATATTATTTATTTTTATTATATTTGTTAATTATTATTTATTGAGTATAATTACTCAAAGTGTCTCATACTTACTCATCTTTATCAAAGGAATTATTCTGCAATCCTTGTATAGCTTTGTAAAGAAGGCTATAAATTCAAATGAACTTGTTTTTACTACTTTATCTGTATTTATATATTTCATTTTTGAATAGACATAACAAATTTGAGTTGATAAATACGCTTAACAAATTATCTTTGAAAAGTCTCACAATATAGATTTTAAAATTAAAATTGATAAAACTTCAACTATAGGATATAATATTTCACGTTCTACTCTTAACTTTATGATCAATAATTCTATTGATCAAATAGTTCATTTTGGATCTCATTAGTTGAATTTTTGGTACTATAGTGATCAAGCTCTTTTTTATTTAGTTTATTACTAAAAAAATAATATTTTTAGCTTAGGTTAAAAGTAGATTCTAGGAAAGTGTAAGGTTAATTTTAATTTAGTTTTAACTAAATAGAAATTTTTACTTTTTCTTAAATTTGTATATTTTACTTTTATTTTCATATACTTTAAAATTTAATAAAAATTATGTGAAACTATCGTACTTAAAAAAAAAAATTATTTATTGAGTAGAATTATTATATATTATATTTATTATTTATATTTTATTTATTATCTCTTAAACTATCTATTTTTACAGATAAATTTGCCTATTAAAATAATTAAAAAATTAGATCTAAAAGTAATTTTTATATTGAATCTTAGTTTATATTATCTAGAATAACCTCTAAAATATTAGATCATAAGTTAACACTAAAATCATATTATAATATACTGCATATAATTCATATAAAGGCAAAATTTTAAATCATATATAATTTACTATATTTTACCTATAAAGTATCTTAAATTATTGAACAATTTAAATTATCTAAAATTTAAATTAGCTATTATGTATTTGAATAAAAAAGCCATTATATAATAGAAGAACTTATTCATAATAGAATTTTATATTATTAGAATAATTATTTTAGTTATACAAATTATATAAAAAAAAATAAAATTTATTTATTATTATTATTTTTTGTATAAAAATTAACAAAACAATTATGATTGCTATTATAATAAAGAGATATATTATATGCTATACATCAAATTTAATTTTAATATAAAGTTTTATGATCTAAATTTTTTTACTTACTAACCAAGTATATTATTAATATATTTTTTGCTATTCTCTTCATTTAGTAAAGTAATTTTTAGATACAAACTATTGATTTATAAGTTTAAAATTTTTTATTATTTTTAGTTAACAAGTTTTTTTTTTTTTATTCCTTTCTTTATTTTTTTTGAATAATTTCTCAATTGAACTTTTTTTATATTATTTATAAACTCAAGAAAATCTTAAATAAGTTTATGGTAAAATTTCTTTTGCTTTTGAGTTGATCCTAATATTTAAGTAATTTAGTAAACATTAATAATCACAATATCTAATAGTCAGAAAAAGAAGCATTCAATTCCTTTATACTGTTTGTTAAATATTATAATATGACCTCAGTTAATTAGTAATATTTACGCTATTTATATTATAATTGTATTTATCAATTAATAAAAATAATTTACAATCTATCATATTATTAATTATTTTTTAAATAAAAAATTTAGTTGATTTTAAATTACAATAATAAGTATTGATAATCAATAAAAATAACTTACCAACTATTAGATTTATTAGGTATTAATTATTTTTTAAATAAAAAGTTTAGTTGACTTTAAATTACAGTAACAAGTATAATTAAATATTGATGATCTATAAAAATAACTTACTTCTTAATAAAGTTTATTTTTTAAATAAAAAATTAGTTGATTTTAATTACAGTAATAAGTATAATTAAATACTGATAATTAATAAAAATAATTTATAATCTATCATATTATTAATTATTTTTTTTAAATAAAAAATTTAATTGATTTTAAATTATAATAAAAAATATTAAATATTTTACTTCCTGTAATAATATTAATATTTTTTATTTAAATTATAATAAATATAAATAATTGAATTAATAAAAATAATTTACTATCTAAATTATTTAAATTATATTTAATAAAATTTTATTTTTAAATTATAATAAATATTAAATAAAAATTATAAATATTATATAGTTCCAAGAATAAGCACCCTGTGATATGCTCCTTTTATAGTAATTTATTTATTTGTCACATAGAATTTATTATATTATTAGTCACGTATATACTGATAAATTTATATATATCACGTGATGCTTATTTTCGAAGGAATATAATATAAATAATTTACCAACTAAAAGTTATTAATTATCATTAAAAATTTTATATAGTAATAAATTAAGTTTAAATTAAAATGTAAAAAATAAATAACTTACTCCCTATAATATTATTAATTATTAAATATTTTTTGAATAATAATTTAATTAATTTAAATTATATATAATAAAATTAAATGGTTTACAATCTAAGTATTATCATCATTAAATTTTTTTTTTAAAAGATATTAATTATTAAATAAATAAATAAATAAATAATAAAATTATTATCATTTAATTCTTTTAATTTAGGATTATCTGAAACTAATTCTATTATAATATTTATTTTTGAGAAAATTTTGAAATTAATTAATATGATTTATAACAAAATCTAATATTTAAACAATTTATAAAATTTTTTACCATTTAGTTTTTCTAATACTTGAACAATTATTGAGTATAATTAATTAATAGATTATTATGTTTGTTGGTTAATTATATTTTCTATTGTATTTACCTTTATCATTTAAAATTAATACTATATTTCAAGTTTATTTAAAATTTTTAGTAAATAAAAACATAAATGACAAATGGTAAATTATAGTATTATGGTAATTATTATATTCACATTCATTATCCAAGGTCAATTCTACATTATAAAATATAATTAACAAATTCTTTAGTATGGTTAAATTGTTGTATTTATATTTATCAATTGAAATTATTTCTATTTTTCAATTTGATAAAATTTAATTTTTAGCAAACAAAATAAGTATAATTAACAGCATGTATTACCTTCTAATGAGAAAGCTTTTTTAATATCTGAAACTGGTTCTAATGGTAATTCATGAAAAAAAAAGAAAATTTTTTAGAATATCATCAACCCGTTAAATTAACTCATTTTAGTCATACAAAGCTCCATATCTTTTATTCCTTTTTAGAAATATTTTTTAGTTTCTTTATTACACTCTTACCATTAGACATTGGTTAAAATATAATTTTTTTTAAAACAAATTACTTGTATAATGAATGATAATAGTAATACATATTGTCAAGGTAAGTAGATCTTACCGTTTGTATGTACTGTATATACTGTATGTGAGGTACAACACTAGATATATTAAAGGAGGATCTGTATTATGGTAAAGAAAATTTAATTTTAGGCGATTCGTGTACTTCTAAAAACTGGCTATTTTTAACTTCTCTTTTTCCCTCTTCACAGCCGATTAAATTTTTAGAAAAATATTTTAGAGATAACAATTTGATTTCACTAGAAATAACACATCTTTCTTGTTTTGAATTTTTTTTTATCAAATAAATACAAATCAATTTATTAAAAGTATGAAGACTATATTTAATGCAAAATTACTGTCGCGTGTTAATTATATACCAGAGATATAAATTTAACTTTCATATAAAGATGATACCTCCTAATGTGATAATGGATAGACTTTTCGCTGGTCCTTCTACAAAATTTCTTGCTGTTGAAGGGCACATCTTTACGGTTGAAGCTTGTTCATTTTATTTGTCTCAGAGGTTTAAATTTTTATAAATCTCCTTTTGTCCTTTATACGTCATATCATCAGGTATTGCAACTTTAATGGTAGAAGTAACCAGTCCATAAATGCTGGTATCAATACAATTACTTGTAAACTAGGAAAGTCAGTTATCGAGATGATGCTTTACTGCTATCAATGTTATTTTTGCTTTCAAATGATAAAGGATCCTCTTTTATTAAGTGAAGAATTTGAAGCTAATTGCTGCAGAATTAAAATTGCATGAGATGTAAAATTTACTTTATAATTTGTCAACATTAAAGAAAAATTATTTCTACTAATTTTTTTTTTAACAAGTAAAAGCATCTCTTCTTGAATATATGAACAAGATTTTTTAATATTTTTTTTTTTTTTTTTTTTTTTTTTAAAAAAAAAATCAGAACGTTATTTTTAATAATCCAGACTGTCTAACTACCAATGGAATTGAAATTGCAGTAAAGTTAAGCATTGTATTAGGATCATGTAAGGATTAGGGCATAGATAATATGCCATGAGTTAGTCTTTAAAACATAAATCATCGAGAAGAATCTTAACTAGTTAAGATATTGGATCGTTGAATCATTGAGGTGACTTATTTAATTACCAATAATTTTACAATAAGTTTTAAAATTAAATCACCTCCAGATATCATAAAAAGAAAAATTCAATTCAAGATCTTCATCGATCATGAGTTTCGAGCGAGTGCTATCAACCATACGGAAAACAAAAAAAAGTTTTGAAATTTGAAGTAAACATAATTAATTAGGCTGGTTGAAAGCTATTTTATTTAAAAACACAGAATATAATATAAAAACCTCCTCAAATAAAATCCAACAAGTAAGCCTATATGGGAGGATTTCTAGGAAAATCAGGTTCTGAGAAATTTTGACTAAAATTAAGAACTTAATGCATTTTAATCTAATAACACCAAAAACTAAAATGCAATAAAAATCTCAATTTTGTTAAAAATTTCCGGAACCTGATTTTCCTAGCAATCAACCCATATAATGACCTTAATAAATATAAAAAGCACTAATAAAAACCCATCCGCAAAGCGAATCCAAAGTAAATCCCTATATCTATATCTTCTCAAAGCACATCCCAAATGATAGTTACTTGTCCCTAGTTCCCTTACATCCCTTTGCAATCTTACTTCATAAGTTTTTGTCTTTGTTAATATCGTATCTAACTTGGTAACTTCTTCTGATAAGCTTGTGCACCGATCGTCTACAATTATTCTCTCATTTTCTTTCTTTTTTGAGTTGTTCTTCAACAGCTTTATTTTTTTGAAAGCGAAAATCGTTTACACGTTGTGCATGGCTTTGACGAACATTTGTGGATTTATAAGACATTTTTGTAAAAGTTAAAAGGTTGAAGTTGAAAAATCGTGCAGGTGTGTTTGACAAATAATACATAGTACTTGTTCGGCGGTATCCGGACATTTCGCCGAATCCGTTTCACCGAAAGGACATTTCGCCGAAAATGACTACTGCGTAACATTTGTTTAACTTATCATTTTTAGGTACTACATTAAAAGTAAGTTTTTTCTTAAAAATTTCGTTGGAAATAATAAAAAAAGTTCAATAAATCTGGCAAATTGCTAACAATCAACAGCGAATTATTTTCGTTTTCGGAGAAATGTCATTTCGGTGAAACGGATTCGGAGAAGTGTCTATTCGGCAAAAAGGATTCGGCAAAACGTCATTTCGGCGAAGCGTCCTCTCGGTGAAATGTTCATTCGGCGAAACGTCTTTTCGGTGAAAAGTCCATTCGGCGAAATGAACGTTCGGTGAATTGGCTTCGGCAAAGTGGATTTCGGCGGAACGGGTTTCGGCGAAACGTACCGTAACCTCGTTCGGCTACTAGATAATAATACTAGTACTCAGGTTACGCGGCGAGGACTTCAGTACTAATTGCACCCTCCAAAAAAATAGAGCTCCTCAACCAAGCAAAGTTCCAGTCTATCTAAACATACATTTCAAACATGCATTGAGAGAGAGTCTTCTATTTTTTTTATTCACTCTTTCATGTCCCAAGTTTTCCTTCTTGGCGGTTTGATACCCCAGTTCTGTCCTTCTGGGCGTTTGTAACCCTGTTATCTGTTCTGGAGTTTGGTAACCAGTTAGTATCTGGTTGAAGTTCTCTGCTGAGAAGGGAAGTGCATAACCGGAACCACGTACAGTACCGACTTTTGCAGCTGTTTTCCAGAAAAACTTCTGGTTTTTATTTTATAAGTGGGGTGAAAGAGGGGACACAAAACAGAATGTGCTTGTGAAAGACTGTCTTCGCGAGAGAGGGGGGGAACAACAAAAAGAAAAGAAAGTTAGAAATTTATTTTTGAAACGTCAGGTATATATAATAATATATTGATTCTCGTTGCCTAATATATATAAGCGTGATCATGAGATCATACTTCGCTCATTTTTGATGCTTCCTTTTTTAACGATTAAACTGCGTAAACATATATTATGAGCATTGAATGAATTATACATTGAATACTTATTTATCGTAAAGATCAATTTATCAGTAAACCTGCTCATTAATAACAGTCAACGAAAATTAAAAAAAAAAAAATTTGATTAAACAAATACAAATTTATATTTTTTATAAATTTTCGTTCCTAGAATTTAACTATATTTGAAATAAAAGAACTTTGTTTTTTGTTTGACTATAAAAGATAATTTTCAATGTTTAGGAATATCGACAAAAGTACGCAAAAAAAAAAAAAATTTACTGCGGAAATGAAAAAATTTATGATTTTTTTTATATATGAAAACTAAGTATTTTTGCTTTTTATAAAGTCATTCGAAACTTGCCGATAATTCTTTATATCACGGAACTAGTTTGAAAACAATAATAATGATTTATATCTGCTAATAAAATCCAAGTTTTTGAATAATCTCTTGCATTTAGTAAGGTATAATTCACTCTCTCCAGAATGATTATCTCGATTAGAATTTCAAATAACTTACGTAAATATATGTAAAGACTATCAATACCAAATTGTTAGTATTCCAACTAATTTAATATTTCATTAAAGAAATTGCATTCGTCTTTTGAGATTTCGAAACCCATGGGAAGTTTTAAAAACTATTATTAGTAAATATACATCTAACAATATTCTGTAAGTATAAGTAATATAAGAACTTTTCTGTTTCCTCTGAATGAATATCGTAATTAAATATGTTGGACATTAACTATTATGGATGATTTATCAATACAGCGAAGTAATAAATTTAAGGAATCCAATAAAGCGTTTGTTTTCCTAAAAGTATTACAAAATAACATATTGATGGAATTTTACTTACAGAAATGATGCGACAATAACTATTCACATGATTTTAGAATCAATATTTTTCTCATCGTGACACCAAACGATTTAACCCATGTAATTTTTATGAACTCCCCAAATACGTAATAAATTTACGTAATTATGACGGATATCCCTATAGTTTACCAAATTTGTATTAATTTATTTTTATAAGCGGAAATAAATGCCCAAAAAATTAAATTAAAAAAAAAAACTATAAAAATACCTTATTCCGTTTTGTTTTTCGACTAGAAAAAAATGTCTTCTCCAAATTGCCCCGAATTACTTGCTCATTGGTATTGTGTTACGTTACATATCATAAATTTTTTATTTGAACTGAATCCATTAAATTTAAACCCTTTTTTTATTATTTATTTTACAAATTAGGTTTCATGCGATTGATGTACCATTGAGAGATCCAAACAAAGACAAAAAATTTCAAACCGGCACGTCATCATCATCGATTAACACTACTACATCATCCTCCTCTTCGACCAACACTCTACATAATCTCTCATTATCCAATTCCAACAAATCTTATACTTCTAAACAACCAACTATTTGGAAAGCTTTTTCCAAACGTGATTCTAACGCTCTCGAAGCTGTCTTCAAAGCTGGAAAACCTGGAGCGAAGGTTCCATGTAATGAAGATTATCTATTCGAAGTAGATATTGACAATCGCGAGATTAGCCCTGTATTTTGGCCAGGTGCTACATATGAAGTTGTACGTGCCACTTGGTTTTATCTAAGTGACGGAAAATTTCTTCCCTGTGATGAAAATTTGGCTGCTCAAATTGAAGATGGATACAGGTAAAATATTTAAATTTTTTATTTTTATTATTATCATCTAATAAAAAATAATTCCCTTTAGGAAACATCAAGCGTGGATTCCACGACCTGAATTGGAGTCAACTGATCAAACTAATAATGGGTCCGAACAAATTCAAGAAAAAAGTTGGCCATTACTTGGAAAATATCTTTCTCAGTATGTGGTCTATACGAATCCTACAACTGCTTGGTTATTACAGTAAGGAGTTTTATTTTTTTTTTGTTTGTCACTTTTTGAGGAATTATTGAAGGAATTTATTAATTTTCCTTTTTATGTAATAATAGCGATGATATGACTGGAAAACTAACAAAAACTTTTTTTGCCAAACTCACTAATGGAGTTCATCTGGGAGGAACTCGCCTTATCCGAGGTTATAATGAAACTAAAAGATTATTATCGAAAAAATCATCTGAGGATGAGGAGAAGAAATTTAAGGGTGAATTGGACAACCTTTCTTCCGCAGGCAGTGTTCCGAGAGAAGTTAAACTGGAAATAGTTGAAAGTGAAGATTATAATAATGACGAAGAAGAAGAGAGAGTCATTGATCATCTTATTTTGGTAATTCACGGGTAAGGAATAAAAGTAATAAATAATTTTTTATGAAATTTGCTTAATTCATATTAAATTATATAATTGTTACATCATTATAAATGATTTAGAATCGGTCAAAAGCTTAGCGAGAAAATGGAATCTATTAATTTTGTACATGGTATGATGTAAATTTATATTATCCTGATTTTTCTAGTATTTCTTATTTCAATAACTAAAAAAATATAATTCGCTAAAGACGTCAACATGTTAAGGAAAACTATTAAAACCACATACTCTACAACACTTGGTCCTGAAACTGCTTATAAAAACATTTCTAAAAATAAATCAGAATTTAACTCAGATCGCCGCAATTCTGGTAATTCTGAGAAAAGCAATCATAAATTCGGAAATGGTGTACAAGTTTTGCCTATTCAATGGAGGCAAGAAATAAAGTTTGGAATGGCGTCTGAAGATGAGAACGTTCAAAGAGATTTAGGCATGCCTAATGCTGAAGAAGGTCAAACTACTTTGGAAGAAATTACTTTGGAGGGTGTACCAACATTAAGAATGTTGATTTCTGACGTTTTAATGGATGGTAAAATGAATCCTTTTATGATCAAAGATTTCACTTGAAGGGTGAACTAAAATGACCATATATTTTTATTTTATTTATTTTTTTTTTTATCTAGTTTTATTATACATGACACCAAAATATAGAGAATTGATGATTAATACAGTAACAAAAGAAGCAAACAGAGTTTACAATTTATTTATTGAAAGGAATCCTAAATTTGTTGAAAATGGAGGAAGGGTTTCAATATATGGACATTCACTAGGTTCCGTGTTGGCATTTGATGTATTATGTCATCAACCTCCGCTTTTCCCTTCAACACCATCTGGTATTTTTGAGGGAAGGGGGTCAACTGAATTAGATTCTATTCATCAGCATACTGTAAAATTGGATTTTGAAGTTACAAATTTTTTTGCAGCTGGATCACCAATAGGATTATTTTTGTTATTAAAAGGTCTTAAGATAGCTTCAAGAAAAGAACGTTCTTCGGAAAGATTCAGTCAAGCATTAGCAGGGGTAGCTCTAGAAATGGGAATTGATATGACTTTACCTTTAGGTCAATCATCATCTGTTCCATTATGTTTTCCGGCTGTTAAAAATTTATACAACATATTTCATAATGCAGGTATGTAAATATTTAGATTTTTCAAGAAAATGATTTATTCGCTAACTTTATTGTTTTTATATTTAGATCCAATTGCTTATAGATTAGGTAAGTGTACGAATTATTGATTAGAATTGTTTCAGCACATTAATTCATTATATTTCAAAATATTTTTCATAGAGCCACTTATCGCTAGACATTATGGTAGAGATATGAAACCTGCTCTTATTCCATACCATAAAGGGGGATTAAAAGGAATGCATATTGGTATTCAAGAATTTGGGAATGAAATTGCAAACAAAGCCACAAATATCTTTTCATCAGTTAAAACGTCTTTAATGTTTACAAAAGGATTACAATCAATGTTACCACAAAATAGTGTTAGTAGTATTAATGTAACACATAAAAAATCAGTTTCAGTATGTGGAGATGAAGGTGGATCAGCTTTAACAAATTATCCTCCAACTAATTATTCTTCAAATGATGAACCAAAGAAATCAGAGGACGATGATCCTCATGGATCATATAAAATTAAAGATTTAAATTCATCTGGAAGAGTTGATTGGGTTTTACAGGTATAGTATTAAATATCTTTAACATTTATTATCTCTAACTTATTTTGTTAACAATTTCAATTTCAAATTTCAATCTTAATTTTTGCATTATAGGAAGGAATATTGGATGTTAGTTATATTAATGCTATTACAGTGCATTTGAGTTATTGGTCTGATCGTGATGCTGTAAACTTTATTATGAAGGAAATTTATAGAGAGAAATATGAGGAATCAGGTTAAAATAAAATTTCTATATAAAAAAAATTATTTAATTATTTGTTAGATTTTTTGATGTATTTGTTTCTACACTACAAGTTCCCGCTCTTAAATAATAAATTCTTAACCTAAATAATGAATATAAAATGAAAGGATAAAAATGATAAGAAAAAAAAAATAAAAAAAATGAATAAAAGAATATTTGCGCAGCTACAACCATATAATCGCGCAGATGAATATGTGAGATAATGAATGTATATTTGTTATCGTTAATGGCAAATTACAAGGCATTACTTTTTTATAAAATAATCTTTGTCATTTTGACTTGAAATTTAAATTAAAATTAAAATAGAGGCCATTTGAGGCCATTTCAAGGTCATTTGTCATCACTAGGTCGGCCAAGGGGCCTTAACTGACCAGTTGAACGATCATTGACAGTAATAGTAAATATAAAATAATGCAATTATCGCAACATTTTCGGCTTATTTGAAAGTTTTAACAATTCTAGCATGGCATGTTTACATAAAGTAACGTTTTGATTTACTTATTCCTTAAGTCATTAAAAGATGGTTGTTCATCAAAATCAGCGGTCAACTATTCAACTCAAATCCGTTTATCTGAAAATAAAAATTTGTGAGATTACCTGCTGCTATAAGCTAACATTCTAAAAAAATATATTTTTTACAAAAAAAAATAAATAAATAATTTTTAGCTGCTACTAATTATTACATGTTTTGAATTATGATGCATTTTAAAATAAATTAACACCATTTTTTAATAAATTTTCCATCTAAATTTTTATATAAATTGTAATAAACATATTTGTCTTTATGACACTTAAGAACATTTAACATTTGATAATATTTTCACCGCGTGAAAAAAGAAAAATACCGTAATTGCATTACTCTCGATATAAAATTTCGATCTCTAGTATAGATGAGGGACGAAACCTCTTAATAACAGTCTAAACTCAGACGAAACAATATTAAAATCATAATAAAGGATACGACAAAACCCTTTTGATATGACGAAAGCTGAAACTTTCGAAACTATATCAAAAACATAGAAAAGGATATGACGAAATTATTCTGAGGAGGTTTCGGCAGGCATCTATAATCTCTAGTTGTTTTGCAAAATGTTTCTCGCTCACCATTTGACGCTTATATTTACTTGGCATTATGCTAGTATTTGTTTTAAGTTCCGAATGTGTTAAATTGCAATTTGATTTTATGAGAATTGTCAAATTGCAGATTTCTTAAATGCTTTCAATCTCAAAAAGAAACTTAAGCCAGAATACTAGAGCCGTAAAATGTTCCCTTTTGATTGAATAAATAAAAAATTGGAATCCAACACAAGTTGTTAGTTATTTGAGTCTCAAAAAGACAAGTTATATGTTGATAATAATTATATTAGTTTCATTAAGAAAGCTAATGCCTCCAGTTTCAAACTTCTTACTTATAGCAGAAGAAAAGCTCAAAAGTATTTACTAGGGCATTCACTGATAATGTTCACGTCTTTGTTTACCACTCAAATATTTGGATTTAAGGAAAGTATGCTGTTGACGAACGTGAGCGATTGTGTTCTTTGATTATACAGAAATTCATATTACTTTGACCAACTTCATATTGATTACGGCTAATTTCTTAAATAGTTAAGTGTAAACATAAATTAGATAGTGCTCCTGTCATTGTCAGCTCATGCTTATCATCAAACAATTCTGGAAACAAATTCGCAAACAAGATTAAAAAAGTCAGCATGTTTAACTGAAACTTTAAAAATTAACTTTTAAGATCTATAAGTAAACTAATCTTCTGTAAGAATCCTGGAATGTTGGTGATAACAATTATAAACCTATGGGCGCTTTGCAGTAGAAAGGAAGGAAACTACTAAAAAAATTTTTTTATTTGGTAGTTTACTGCAAAATGCCTTTATATAACTTTATTAAAATTTTTATTAGCTGAATAAAATCATGTGACTTTTAATAAAAATTGATAATCAGGAATTAGCATAGTATTTATTGTGAATTATTATTCTGGACGAATTGTAATATTGTCTAACATTTATTTTATAATAATTGTATTATCGAGACTTATTTGCAGAATGCAGTTTACATTAAAATAAAATAATACTAATATACTTAATTATAATAGCATCAGAAAATTATGAAATACCTCATTAATTTTCTTTCAAAATTTGTTTATCTTTGATAATTATTCTTAACCCACTTCTTTACCATCTTCAAGCTTGACTGCTTATTAAAAAACAATTACAATGTATCATAACAAATCCAATTTCACTAACTAAATAAATTTAATATACTAAACCAATTAATTATATTTTAGTCTTTAATTTTATATTTGTATATTTTAGCTAAAAGTAACCTATCTCTCTATTTATGAATCTGATGAATATTTGTAATAAAATTTCTTTTTAATACTTAAGATATTTGAGAATCTTGAAAAAATTATCATATGTAGAGATTGCTATAATTAATCAGATATTAATAATTTTCATTTTTATATTCACAAATTTCAAAATCATGATTAATGCTACTTACAAATCATATTCTTTATAATTCAAATAAATAATATAAAAATTTGAAAAATATGAATTATATTTGCTATCAATCTCTAACTTTTCTTTTAATAGATTGTAATCTTCTAAAATTTTTGAATTATTATCATTATATCATTATTATTATTATTATTTAAAATTCTAAATAATATATTATATAAGAGTTTAATCTACTAAATAAGCTCTTTAAAAAAATAAAAAGACATATGTATCTTATTAAACAAATATTATATTTTTATACAAAATTGTAAATTATATATATTAATTTCATTTATCTCTATTCTAATATAGTTTCTTTAATAATTAAGCTTAATAAATTCTTTTTTTTATTTGAGATAATATTACCTTTTACATATTTCAAAGTATTATCAAAGATATATTATTATGCTCAAAATATAAAATAACATTTCTATATACTTTAAAATATTATCATAAAAAGTAATTTTTTCTATATTATTATATTCTAAAATTTTTTTTTAGATATTCTAATATATAATTTTAAAACTAATATATATATACAAACAATTTTTTTTTATAATTTATTATTTTTTTGATAGTAAAATATACAATAAAATAAAAATTCATTATATATATATTTTGATTTTATTAAAAATAAACTTTCTATTAATAATAAATAAAATTTATATAATTAATAAATTAAATAAATAAAATTATCAATACAATTAATTACCTTTTAATAAAACTATAATAAGTGAAATTACAGCTTCTAGAATAATCTTTAGACTTATAAAAATATTGACAAGTATTATAGTTTTTACTTTTATTCATAATATAAATTTAAAAGATAAAATTTTTTGAGTTTTTTTTAATTAAAAAAAATTAAAAATTCAATTTTTTTATATTTGTCAAATTATACTTTTTATTAATTAAACTTTTTATAAATTATCAAATAATTTTATTATAAAATAATAAATTATTTAAATGATTTATTAAATTTTTTATATAAGCTATTAATTAGACTATTAAATAATTAATAAATTATCTATAAATATATAACTATTAATTAAAGTATTGATATTAAAAAAACTATTGATTTTAAAACTAATTAAAATAATTTATTAAATTTTTATTAATTATTTGATCAAATTTATTAATATAAATTCATATATTAGAATAGAGAAATAGTAAATCATTATGTAGTCTAAAGTAAATAATTATAAAATATATTAGCATAGATAAAATAAAAATATTGCAAATTACCAAATTAGGTAAATTTGTTTTGATTCTAATATTATATAGGCTATAATAAAAAATTGCAGGCTATAATTTATAATACAAAGTTAAAGTTATAAAAGTATTGCAGATTACAATTTATAATACAAATATAAAACTGTAGATTACAATTTTTAAACGTAATAAAATTATAAGCTACAGTTTATGAAGATATAGCTAAGGTTATTTATATATTTAACTAGTTCTTAGATATTATTTTATGTATCATTTATGTAATTTAATTTGAATAAAAATACTATTTATTTAATAAATAATATTTGATCAATAAAATACACAGTATTTATAATTATTTAACATCTAATTAAATTATTATTGTATTTGTTAATTATTTTCTAAGTTTTAAAGTGATTATCAGAAAACAATGATTTATTTTTACTCATAAAATCTATAATATCAAAAAGTGATGACTTATTTTACTTATAAAATCTATAATCTATAAAAATTAATAATTAATAATGAGATTAATAAAATATAAAAATACTTAATAATTAATTTACTTTGCATTAACTTTTCATTTGAAAGTAAATTAAAAAGAATAATTAAACTACTAATCTGAAATACTTAGAAATTAAAATAGTAAAAAGAAAAAATACTTAAAGAATATATAGTATAATTTAAGTATGAACATAAAAAAAAGTATTAAAAGAAAACTAAAAAAAAAATAAATAAAGTAAAAATATGTATTTTATAAAGGTCAGAAAATAAAAAATTCCAATAAAGTAATAAAATCTATTGATAAATATGAGAAGAAACTTGTTTATAAATTAAAGTATAAGTATACAATATATAATAGTAAATAAATTTAACCTATTAAAAAGCATTAGAGTAGAATTAATTTTTTATAAATAACTCTACTATACATATTCTAAACAACTGAAAAGAAAATAATTTTTAAATACTGTTAATATGTAATTCTTGCAAACTACGACTGTTAGACAGGGTGTTTGAGCGATTTATTCTTTTTAATTGAGTAGTAATCTTTTAACAGTTTACAAGTTTTAACGCAGATGATTTGTCAAAGTCTTTATATTATCACAACAAGTTACGATTTAACAGATTACTAGTAGTGCATATTTGTAAATATTGTATTTATTCATGAGTAAAATAATGATAAAGAAGAAGAAAAGTAAAAGAAAATAAAAAAGAAAAATAAGAAAGAAAAGAAATGAAATACTAAAACTAAAAGGTGATGCGGT